GAAATCGAAAGCGGGAGGCATCGAAGCGGGACACGAAAACGAGGCTTATGTCCCCTCGGATCTCGACGTGCGGCCCGTCGTGCTCAGATCTCACGACGGGAGTTCCTCTCCTGGAACTCGTTTCTAGTTTTTTTATGTAGGTAATGTAGATAGTGTAAATATTTTGATTATAGTTTATGTAGATGTACATATATTAGGCTATTGCAAATTAATCGTATTCAGCATAATTTTCGAGTAATGTTGATTGTATAATTTCAACTCACCCGATTGTAAATAATAAACCATGGGGTCGATCTCCGGAGTTGCTGTCTTGAGCTCTCTTGAGCAGTCAAAAATTGTCCCGGATACAACTGACAGGATGTGGTGCCATTACATAGGAATCTATCGACAAGAAAGGCACGCGCCGGTGAGGTAGAGGTGAACGCTACCCGGAGCTCGGCCGGGTAGCGTTCACCTCTAGGACTGACTGAGAGGAACGACCAGGCGGAGTGGCCTTCGGTGCGGACTGCGAAGATGCCGCCCTTGATCGACTCCTTCCTCGGACTCTCCCCAGAAGATCTCAAATTCCCAGCGATTCATCTCGAGAGATGGCGCCCCTAGCTCTCGAAACGGCGCAAATCCGTGGCAGTTTCCCCCGCTTCCCTGGAGGCAATCGTCGAGAACGGCGACCCTGAATTCGGCAAAGGGAACTGCGCGGTGCGGTCCCCAGCCCGCATCCCCTTCAGCTCCAGGACGAAAGTGCCAATCGCCGTTTCCTTGTCCTGATGACGACCTCCGAGTGCCGCGAGTTTGTAAATTAGTACAACTATGGAATGCGGGGATAGAAATCGTGATAAGCATCTTGTTAGACTTCCGAGAATCAGTCATTATTTCCGTACTTGTCTACCCTCGTCAATGATTCTCTCGGCGCATCCCGAATGACCACGGATTAGAAGATCCCAGGCCCGGAGACGATCATAGCGCATTCATTCTCGTCGTATCCGTTTCAGACGCAGCTGTCGGCTTGAAAGTTGAGAAGCTGTGTGATTTCAATGACGATAACGAATGGCCCTGAGGTCTGTCAGTTCTCCACCGTAAACGACTCACCTTCATTCATTTATGTGGGTCTATTCATTTTTGCTCTTCACTGCGCTGTTGGTGGACAGTGTCACGGTTCCGCGGAAGCGCACCAAGCTCAGCTCACGTTCGAGCAGAAGATCTACGACGACGCGAACAACGCCCCAGATTCCAAGAAGATCAGAGTTGAAGGACGAAGACATTGAGGCCGACATCGAACTCGCTAAAGAGTTGGCGTCGAGCATAATCTACCGTTCCGTGAACAGGAGCGGCGATCCTTGCGATGACTTCTACGAGTATACGTGCAGCGCCGGCTACCCGGCAACCCTGGCCAAACCGAGCCACTACCGCAGATCGAAAGCTAAGTTTTTCACCAGTTACACCAAGATGGTGTCGCACACGCTTGAGGAATTGGGCAAGAGAAAGCTCCGAGAACTCGCCAAGAAGGTGAACAACTCGGACGGGGACTTGACGCAATCGGAAGTACAATTAGCCGCCTTGGTCAACAGCTGCAGAGCCGTTGGCGAAGGAGACAATCACGAAGAGAGTGTTGAGTTCATCAGAGACATATTCGAGGCTGCCGGATTGGACTGGTTCGAGGAACCCAAAACCGAGGGTCGATCCGGTGTCGACAGCCTGTTCTACCTTTCGGTACACTTGGGCTTGACAACGCCGATCGTTGACTTATCGATTTTACGGAATCGATCTAAAAATGAAGAGAAGATCGTCTTGATCGAGAGCGCGCTTGGATACCGGACTCCTCTGCAAGATCTGAAGAAGGACGTGCTGATGATGAGGCGCAGCAGTCGCGGCAGTAGGAAGAAGAAGAAGAAGTCGAACACGACGCCGGAGGAATCCCAAGGAACCACGACGGAAAAATCGCAGAAAACTACGCCGGAAAACGCGAAGAAGACAACGCCGGCAAAATCAAAGAAAACAACGCCGGCCAAATCGAAGAGGACAAAAAAATCGAAAAAATCGCAGAGAACAACACCACGGAAATTGCAAACGACAACGCCGAAGACACAGCAGCGAACAACGCCGAGAAAATCGAAGAAAACGACGTCGAGAAAATCGCAGAGGAAGACTGAGAGGAAATCGAGACTGCGAGATTTGTGGTTGGGAAAATCAAAAGGGATCAAAGATAAGGTCGAATCTTTCAAGAAGTGCTTCGGAGAGATGAGCGAAGTTAGAAAACGTCCAATCCTCCGCAACGACCCGGCGTATCGAGGCGTGGAGAACTTCCTCGCGAGAGCGAACGATATTTTCGACATGGGTTGGAATAAGAGTAGAATAGTTTCGACGGGAAACGACATACAAAGCGTCCACATTTGCCTCGGACGTCTCGAAAGCGACAAAAGACTGAATTACACCGGAACCCTCAGAGGTCTTAAATCTCTCGGCAACTTCGATTGGGTCTCACATCTTCAACCCCATTTTGGAGACTGGCTGAGAGTCCATGGGAAAACAGACGTTTTCATCGACGATTACGAAACGGTGTTCGCGACGCTCGAGCTGGGTTCTGACAAAGCTCTATCGCGGAGTTTCAAAAATTACTTGGCGCATTGGTTCCTGGCCTCGGTATGTGCTTACCTCAAGAGAGAGGTCCGGGTTAAACTCTGTCCGAGGATCAGGAGTGATTGCGACCGCGCTGTAAGTTATTTTTCGAGGCCGATTTTCCGGAGATTCAGGAATCAGCGCGTTGCGATTGACCGGGGTTTCCCTTCCTCCGCAGGCCGGGAAACTCCTTCCGCTGAGCTACGCGGCAATGTTGGGACGCGAGCTACTCTCCGAATACGACTTGCTCAATATTCGCACATTGACGCATAGGATGGTGCTCTCCTACGCGAAAGTTAGTCGCTCCAATATGTCTCCTGAATTTTGTCAGGGCTCCGTTGTATAGCTTGCATTGAAGGCTCGACCTTCAGTGGTTCCATTCGATTCCGAGTGCAGATCATCGCTGCTCGAGAGGCCTGGGAGCCGCGATTCAGGTTGCTGACCATGCAGAAGTTGGAGGACACGATCGTCCATATTGGGTATCCCGAGGAATTCGATTCTCCCGAGAAGAAAGAGTACGGCTTCGATATGGGACCGAATTTCCTCAAGAATGTGCTGACAGTCAAGCAGAATATCCTGATCGATACATGCCGGAAATTCAGCAATCCGAGTGTTCTATACCGGGATACCTGGGTACACACTTTCGAGGTGGGGATACCGAACAGCGACAAGTCTTCCTCATGAACTGAGTGATCACTGTGGTCTTCTCCGCTGTTCTCGTCAACTCATAGTCTGAGAACGAATCTTTCAGGCGGCGAACGCCCGCTACTACAGGACTTCGAATCTCGCTCTCATCCCACCGACGCTCCTTTGTTTCCCGTTCTACGTTGGGGCTTTTCCCTCCTGGTTCAATTTGGCAGCGATCGGAAGACTAATATCGCACGAACTGGCCCACGCCTTCGACTCGAAGTCGTGGACGACCGATAATCTGGGGAACTTCAGACAAGACTTCCACCTTATGGCGAAGCAACAAAAGCTGGCAGTAAGTTTTCGAGGAACTGCAAGACAGGTGGCGGAAAGCGAAATTCGAGCTCCCACAATCATCTTCTGCCGTGTTCTTGAGAATTTCCTTAACGTCGCTTCACCCGAACGTGATTTCCAGGAATATTATGGCTGCATGGAAGAGAAGTTCTCTCTGCCCATTCCGTTCAACACGTCGCATAAATTTGATGGGAAATTGAGCTTACACGAAAACACTGCCGATCAGAGTGGTTTCAATGTGATATACTCGGCCTTCAGTGAGATCGACAATCCTGAATCTTTGCCGTCCTTGTCGGACACCTTCACGCCGGAACAGTCATTTTTCCTGGTCTATGCAATGGTCTCATGCGAAACAATGACGAAAAAGCGAGTGGCATCGTACCTCGATGCAGTTCACTCCCTGAAGAAGTATAGAACCAACGTGAATCTCCAGAGCTCCAATGGGTTCAGCGACGCTTTCCAGTGTCCCTTCGATTCACCTATGCACAAATCTGAGGAAAAATGTCTCCTTTGAGTATCAGAATCTCCATGTAGTGGATCCTCCATGAGATTCTTGACTCGATCCGGAGGGGGATTTATCATTGAGGGATTTTGTGAGCAAATATGGTGCCGTTGAATTCTCTCGGGAAACTAATAAACATTCTCACTTAAATCAGGAAGAGGTATATGATTTTCATTTGGTAGACTCCGTGTTCCCAGCTGTGAAAAGTTTCAATGATGTCCCTGGCGCAGTGGTCGCATTGATCATAGGAAATTTCGCTGGATGAGGTGTGTCGAGACGAGGAGGGAGACCTCCGACTAATCGTGGAATCAACTCAGCCTTGCGGATCGACAGGTCGATTGTCCCCGTCGCAATATTCGTGAGTTCAAAATGACCACGGAAGCCCTCCGAGAACCCCTCTTGACAGCTCTCTTCAGGTGAGGGCGGCTCCGCCTTGATGTTCTTTTTCTTGATGTTCATATCCGTGGGGGCAAGACTATTCCGGAAAAGGAAATTGCGGGGTCGTGAAAAAAATGGATCCTCCCAACCGTAGTCCCGGAAGGAGGATGAAGGGAGGCTCCGTCGATCTCGAGGGAAGAAATCTTTTTCAAGGGGAAATGTTCTCCCGACTGGTTCTAATCCGGTGCGATGCTGAGCACGATGATGCTCCTCTCGGCTCCATGCTGATGCTCAAAAAAACTCCGATACTGCCGGTCGATCTGCTGATTGATCTCCTCCTCCGCCAAGGACAACGAATTATCCCGACCCCGAACGCACAGAATCAGGAACGTCTCTGGGAGGGAGGCAGGTCGTGTCCGTGGGACTCGCCTGTTTTGGCTGGAGGATTTCCCAGAGAGATCAGGTGGCGTGTCTCCCGTGTCTGACGGCCGAAAAGGGGACACGCATGGGGGCAACGCAAGCTGAAGCCGACAGAGGGGGCTCCCGGAGCATAAGCACCGTCCCCAAAACAACGATTGTTGAATCGGATCCTGCCGTGAATAACAACAGCATCGTTCCTGCGCAGCCGCGTGTTCACGAGATATCTTCGCAAGCCAGAGAGTCAGTCGGAGCTCAGGGGATTGGCTCGCGTTCCAAAAAAGAGACGAATGCCCTGAGATTCCTCGAGGTTCCCTCCCAGAGCCGGAAGTCTCGCAAATGCGAAACCCTCCAGATGATCGAGGAGAGCTCCTTGGGCTCGAGGAGCAGAGCAGGACAATCAGCGACTGAGAGACATGTGAGGAATACCGAGAATACAAGAGCGCCCCATATCGGGTTCGCAGAGACTCTTTGCGATAGCGCGGGATGGGCTTGTCAGGAGCCCGCAGAGGAGTATGGCTCCCCATCGTCATCATCATCATCATCTTGGGAACGGAGTCGTCCAACGCACCTCAGGGACGCGAAGTCATCGGAGAGCGGGAGTCTGCGCTCACCATGTGAGGGACTTTCCGAGCGTAATAGAACTTATCGATCGCGGGTGCGAACGTCGGAGACTTTCGCAAAACGTCTCGGGCTCGTGGGGGGTGCATCGAGCGAAACTGCGGCAGATACCAAATGTCCCGCTAGATTCAGCGCTGGGAGATCAGGAACAGTTGTGAAGATCAATTCACCGTCATCGCAAGATCTGGTTTTTTCCTCCGACGACCCCGTGTTTGGAATTCGAGCTCTGGCCAAGCTCTTCGAAGCAGGCAAGAAAAGCATACGTCCTATCTTGAAATCAGTCGAGTCGCCGCGGAGAAAAGGAAGGAAATCGGCAGTTTTCTCCACAGAAGGTTTGAATGTCACGGCACCGCAGAATTCGCCTATTGGGACCAGATCGCTTCTCAGTTCTTCGGCCATGACAAACTTGCCCAAAAGTATCGACACACGATTGGATATAGAGACTTCAGCGAGCGAATCGAGCAGTTCAACGGCGAGTTCAATCAAGAACTGCCGACAGTGTCTCGAGAATTGTATATGGTGGGATCGATGCTCTCTCTCGTGAGAGACTCACTCGAGTACCAGCTGGCATGGAGAGGACAGTCCGCTCCGGTATTATCTGATCATAGATTCATTCCAGAAATGCTAGCGAAATCAATTCACAGGCAGATCCGACAGATCATCGATCGTTCCCCGGATCCACCTCCCTCATCCGGCAATCTCAATCATGATATTCCCATTCAGGTTGATACTGAGGTCCGCCATATGCCCCTGCCATAATCGAGATCACCGACTGGAGCTCGACTTCCTCTCGAGCGGGCAGTGCCGTATTTGGAATTATGATTAAAGGACTTTTATTCCTATGTTTAGGAGTAGTTAGTTTTCTATATCACAGTTATCAGTGTATACATGTTTGAAACTACGGTGGTTGGGCCCTCTCGAGCTCCCAGTCAAAGTCCGCCTGGTGGCAGTTGTACAGGAGGTATGTCTCACAGGTCTCGCCACAGAGAGTACAAGTGCAATCGTCGTCGACGTCGTGGTTTTGTCTTCTCGTGCATATCAAGTGATGGTATCCGTGCATCGCTCCACGTGTGAGTCGATGTCTTTGCGCAGATTTCGGACCCTTCCACCACTCTGTTTTCATCGCTGGTAGTTCCCAAAAGGTCAGATCATTATCATCATATTTGGAATTATGCCGCCATTAGGCCAATCTGGAGCTGATCCTGACTCCGAAAAACTTGCCGCCTAAGGCAATAGCCGTCTCAGCTTGAGTGGAAATCCGGCGGCGAACGGGAGCCGCTTCCAAAGACATATCGCAGTGGGCCCAGTCATATTCCATGTCTCCTATATAGAATTTGGCATCTTTCCGCACTCTTGGAAGGCGCGATCCGAGTGTACAGATCCATCTGCGATCAATTTCTTCAGGTGTCGCGCCAAGGGAAAAGAGTGGTGGTTCTCCTGAAGTACTTCATTTAGGTCTGCTGTCTGCGTCTTTGACTAAAATGGCTGCTCTACGCCGCTACATGCGTCATGAGTCTCGAGAAAGCCTATGGTAGACTTGCTACTCACTCGCAGTGTGATCTCCACTATCAAAGCCTTCTGCATCTGACTCCAAACTGATTCCGTGGTCAGAGAGCCGCAATCATCCGCATGGGAATCAGGTCGCCCGCATCCTGCCGCAAGCAGGGAAGCGGTTCCGTATCTTTTGAATTCCGAATCCCTCTCTAGTTACAGGTCAATCCGAAAATTTCTTAAATAACAATTGACGGAAGAGAGCGTGTAGGAGATGGAGCAATGAGCGAGATGAGGAATGCGCTGATCTTGCAGAAATGGTATCGAGAATGTAACAGCAGTGCGTAAGGTGCGAAGAAGGGTGCGCATGGTGATCTTTCTCCGCGAGTTTCGTCGCCCGACTTGAAGTCTTCCATCCGGTGCGCAATTCCCGAGTGGCATGTTGTGCAGAGTTTACGCGCAATCGGTGGGCGCGGACTCCACGCTCTGAGTGGGATCACAAAGAGCTAAAGTACGATCTGCTCGTCCAGAGCTCCGGGAACGTGCGGAAGAATCCGTTCCCAAGCTATCCATCAGCGAATTGCAGAATGCTGAGAATGTCGCGCGAACCGAAGGAAGAGCCATAGGGCCAGCAAATCTGAGGAAGTGCTTTTGAGGGATTCATTGGACGGGAGACTCTCTATCCTACCGGAGCTGGAATCACGACTCTCGGCATGGTCAGTTCGAGCGCTCATATTGGGAACCGGCGTGCGAATCCCTAGACTCAGACGTTCACAACTTCCGAAGGAGCCTTTCCCATCTTTGGCTGTCATCGGTCACCGCCGTCCCGTAAAATGTGAGCATGTTTCACAACAGATGACTGCTCACACTCTACCGACCTCCAACAAGAGGCTGAAGTTCTCTAACGTCGAATAAAGAACCGGAGGACACAAAAATGACTGTCCGAGTGAGTCAACGATTAATTAGGAGTCGACGATTGGTCGACTTGAATTTTTCAACAGGCATCGATATGGAGTTTCCGCCGATTGTCAGTCCAATGTCTCTGTCTATCTTTGTGGTATCTTGAGCATGATCTGGATACTCGATAAGGGCGCGCTGCACTGCGAACCGCCAGTGTGATGCATATAAGCTCTGAGGTCACGATTCTCCGAGAAGAGCGTTGGACTCTCGAGACCTCCGACCCTTCCAACAACACGCCGTGCTGACAGCGGTAGCGGTGTGAAATGCGTCCTATTTCGGAAATACCACGGGAGCATCAACTCCTCGCTCCTGGGACCTTTTCTTTCGGAGATAATAGTGGTCGTCACGCCGACCCGAAAGAGTAATTCACAGAAACTCGACGATGAGTTGGGCATTCCACGAAACTCTATGCCTCTATGTGACCCGGAAGGCTGGAAATTACACACACTCAATGGAAAGACTTCGCAAGATGAATCACCCGAGAATCTTGCAAAATCTGAACGTTAGGGATGCAGAACTTCCCCAGTAATGGGGCATCTACCGTGAGAAACCTCTCAGCTCACGACTGTCGGAGACAACGAGCCCTCCAAGCAAGAACGTTCCACGGCCAGCGGAAAGTTTGGATGAGGAACTCCAGAGCCTGCGAACTTGGTATATAGCAAACCCCACCTGAAAAAAAACTTGACCAACCAGGGCCCCACCGTCAGCGGACGTCATGGAAAATGATCTCAGCATGGAGCGAAATCAAACGACAGCGTTGGTCAGAAGAGATATGAGTTTCCAATACCTGCTCGATGGACATCGATCTTCCGTAGAAGAGGCGCCTCCGCTTCCATGGAGAATGGTTGCGAAGCGCGGAAGCGATCGAAACAAGAATTCCCTTGGCATCAAGCATAGGTAGCACCATAATTTAGTGATCTGTCAGTGAAATGAAGGTCTAAGACAGCGGTTCTCAAAATTTCTCCTCCACGTCTCCCCTAAGCATTACGAGGGGCGCTAGCGTCTCCCATGGAGATCTCCGTATACCTGAGAATGAAAATTTTCGATCTGAACATGTCCCAGTGCCGTTTTCTCCATGGAATATGGCTTCCCCGATCAATCGTACAATGATTAAAGACTTATTGTAGACTAGCAATGAGCTGGGT